GAGTTCCAGAGCAGCTGGGGCTATGGGGAAACCCTGTCTAAAAAGACAAAAAAAGAGATGATTATTATTAAACTCTTTCAGATTATATACTGTCTTAAGTCTGCTCTCATCACCCCAGGTTTTCCTACACTTGATCTTAGCCAGAAGGTGGAGAAGTCATAGCCCGAGTTTTCCGTTCCACTGTCCCTAGCTGCGAGAGGAGCAAGGGGCCTCTGATAGGTGCTTGACTAAAGCTTTCGGTTCAGTCCATCTGCTGCTTACAAGGTCCTCATGTAACTACTCGTTATTGGTTATCGTTTCAAGGGTTTTCTGCCCATGGGGGACGGAGGGAGAGGATGGCGTTAACTTTGGCCTTCACACCTTTCTACTCCTATCACTTCCTCTGATACATGTCTATAAAACAGTGATGCAGAGTTAATTTCTGTTTCTGTCAGATGCTGTATTGAGTGATGGGAATTTGGAAACACGGCTCAGTTCCACAGATGCAGCAGCTAGCCAGCATATGCTGGTCTGTGCTCTACAGGAGCTTGGCAATCTCATACATGGTCTGGGCACGACTGCCACACCTTTGCTGCAGGATTCCAGTACAGGTAAGTCTCTCTGTGACACTCGAGACTTAATTTTCCATTTTATTTGAGGAAGGAAATATCCTTCATATAAGTAAGCAGTGCTATGTGGCACTGTATATTCATCAGAGAAGTTCTGTGGAAAATTAGTAATCAAGATTACTTAAAAATTTAAATGTGTTTGAGACAGAGGCAGGTTAGGGTGAGGGTTAGGGTGCTCTTAACCACTGGGCCATCTCTGCAGCCCCTTTTCTTTTTCGTTATCACTTTTTAGTAGTCCTCGTGACTTTGTCCTTTGCCATGCATGCTTCCTTGCCAACCGAGTGACTTCACCTTTACATCATGTTTGTAAGCTCTTTAAATTTCAGTAGCAGTTGGCAGGAAACTTCCATGTTTCAAAGAAAGTGTGTCTTAAATCACAGTAGTATAAATTTTTTGTTACTGTTTGCTGTACCCTGTCTGGCGTGTTTATGGTGAGTTAGCCCACTGAGGACCCAGTGAAACCTTGATTTTAACATTTTGTTCTTGGATAAGAGCCACATGGTGGGTGAGAAACATGCTGCTATACTGGGAGGATTTTTAGGAAGGCGGATGGGACAAAGTGTGACTCTTTAAAGGTGTTTTTCTCGTTTATTGGCCATTTTTACTTCCTAGTATAATACCAAATGACTAACGATCTCAAGGTAAAGTATGCAAAACATTGAGATATTAAATCTTTCTTTTGCGTCCTGACTTAATCTAAGCCTGTTTTCATGAGATAATATAAAAATAATCCCTAGGTTTACATAAAAACTTCAATTATAGCTCACTTTTTTCATTGTAATTTGGCTTTTCATAAAAGTAATACATTTTATATCCAGGAGACTATCCATTCTTTTGACTCTCGTGGCTAAATGAGCTTTGTCTCTATACCTAGGCCTTTTCCTCTCTGTCCTTCCAGGCCTTCTTGACGGGGTCATCGCTGCTGTCCCTCACCCCAGTGTCTCTGTGCGGCTGGCTGCAGCGTGGTGCTTGCACTGCATCGCCGTGGCACTGCCCTCCCTGCTAACGCCGCTCCTGGATCGCTGCCTCGAAAGGCTCACGGCTCTGAAGTCTTCGCCGGAAGCAGTGACCGGCTTTAGTTTTGCTGTGGCCGCTTTGCTAGGTGCCGTGAAGCATTGTCCTTTAGGAATTCCTCACGGGAAGGGCAAGGTAATGGTTTCGTTCTCCGTAACACTGTGTTCAGTTTTTCGTGAAAACATGTTCCTTTTATTCTATCATCCACTTAAGCCATGCAGGAAACTGTCTTCAGCAATCACCATATTACTCTCTAAAGGTCGAATACCATCAGTGTAATTGCCATGAAAAATGCTGGGTGGTTTTAAAGTATTTTGTCCACACGTTTACCAGTAATACTTCCTGGGTCACTGATTCGGTGCTTGCCTAGTATGCATGAGCCCTGGGTCTGATCCCAGGACTCGGTGGGGTAGAGGAGCACTCCTGTGCTTTTTATTAGAAGTATCTCTGTGTCATGACAGAATTTGCTATGTATCTAGCCTCGCCACATAAGTTTATTTAAAATCCTATTGTAGTCTCAGGTTTTTCTTTATATTGCATAAATCTTTTGCCTTTTAAAATACTATCATAAAGCTGGGCATGGTGCCATTTGCTTTTAATCCCAGCACTCAGGAGGCAAGAGCAGGTGGATTGATGTGAGATCAAGGCCAGCCTAGTCTATATAAGGAATTCCAGGCCAGCAGGGGTTACAGAGAGACCCTGTCTCAAAATCATCATTATCACAAATAAAATATATTATTATAAGCCTGACATGGTGGTACAGACCTGTAACTCTGTAGTTCCATTTCTCTGGATCCTGAGGCAAGAGGATCAAAAGTAG